ACAGCCAGACCTCCTGAAATCTGACCTCACTGTCTGCCCTTTCTCTCCTCTGTCTTTAGTTTTCACTCAGTTGCCTTTATTCACTGGCTTTGATTCCTCTGTTGGACCCCCCTACCAACACACACACATAACACCTCTCCTTCTCCTCTTTCCTCCCTCTATCCATCACGCTCAGGGGCAGCTGACTGGAGCTGATTTACTTGGTGTTTGCACAGGGTTAGCACTCATCGTTCTGGAGGAAATTAAATGTTCAAGTTACAGCACTGGCTGGATTCATGTTACCCAAAATACTGATGTGATTCTGGGAAGACCTTTTCCAAATATCACTTATTTGGACTGAGCGGGTTCATGTTGTGTTTGTGTTTATATAAAAGCTGCACACATTCTGCCTGCCTCAGTGATCTGGCTTTGCTGTAGGTTTACTGGAAATTCAGATGTCATATTTATATACTCGTGAGCAGCTAGCTTCCTCAGCAAGTGCTGCTGTTGTGTGTGTTTCAGTGTGAGATGGTTGCCTTGCATCATCCACTAATCCTGTGTCTTACACTAATGACTAAGCAGCAAGAAAACGATGAGGTGACATTTATAGTCCCCATAGTATCAATACTAATGACTTTTTTCATCCCCAAAGTTTTCTCTTGCCCTGTGAAATATTGATAAGCCTCAGCTGTGCTTTTTGTTTAGTGCTAATTAGCAAATGTTAGCATGCTAACTCACCATACAATGTTTGAGATAAACATTATATTATGTAACATCAGCCGGTGGTGCCTCCAAGGAAGGGGAGGGGTTATAAGGCTGTGGTGTGCTAATTGTTTAGCTAGAAGATTGAAGGTAGTGGTATCTTGTGAAACTGGACAACCTAAGTCATTCATCAATACCGATCATGTCAGCATAGTTTGTCGAAAAGGGGGATAAAGAATGCTCCAAAGTCAGGCAAAATTTTGGCAAGGAAACAACTGGCATAGCCATTTTCAAAGGGGTCTCTTAAACTCTCACATCAAGATATTTGTATGAAAATGGGTCTAATGGGTACCCACAAGTCTCCTTTATTAAGTGGGATTTATACTTTTGCGTCGAATTGATGCCGTACCTATGGCTACAGTGTAACCTTCACTGTAGCATGATGTGCACCTTCCCAGAATTGTAACTGCACGTCGCAGTGACGCAAACTTCCTGTCTATGTTTGTAAGCTACAAGCCATTAATTTCACAGATAAGAAACAATAAATTGTGAAGACAATAAAGCCTCCACAAAATAGCATTTTAATGCATGTGTGTGATTTATCCTGGCTTCAAATGAGTAGAGGAAATCTCTGCTAGTCACTAGGCTAATTTATACAATGTAAAAAGCCATAGGCTTGTGCTAATAACGTTAGCAAGTTGTATTTGTTTGGAAAATCTGTTTAGTATAAGACAGTTGTTTTGTCAGTGAATCTTGTGAGTTGTAATGGAGCCATGTTTTACAACGTTACCTTTGTTAAATGTTGCTGTTGTCTGTGGCTTCATGTGAGTAGAGGAAAAGTCTGTTAGCCGCTAGGCTAATTTATACAATGTGAAATGCCATAGGGTGGTGCTAAAAACATTAGCATGTTGTATTTGTGGGGAAAATGTTTCCAGCAAAAGACAAGTGCTTTGTCTGTGAATGCTGGAAGTTATAGTGAAGCTGATTTCTGTACTTGTGTTTGAAATTGTCGCATTTAATGTGTGTATTGGGTGTTTTTTGAAGCAACTAAATTTTACAGCACTTCACAGAAACCCCACCGCTGATTAGTGTTTTAGAGGTGTCACTGCAGAATGACACAGACACACCACCGCACAAGTATAAATGCTTGCAACAGCGTAGGCCACTTGCACAGGCAGAAGTGTAGGCTCTGCATAGAGCTGATGCACAAGTATAAATCTGCCTTTAATCTTGAGAAGGCTTGTTCCCAGTAAATGTTTTGTTATTTACAATCAATATACTCCTTCAAATTAAAGCTGTATGTCCGTTTAAGTTAAACGACAACCAGCCTAATTTAAGAACAATAAATCGCATTACATAAGCATTCACAAGAAATTCACTTATGGAAAGATTTTTTGTGCCACCTAAAGACATTTAGTGTCCCCATTTAGCCACCCCTATTAAAAATATGCCACTGACAACTGTGCAAGTTGCTGGTGTTAGCATTTATTTCGAAGCACGGCTGTGACTATGACGAGCTTCACTGAACTGCTGGCATGGCTGCAGACTCTAGTGTTATTTGACATTTGGACAGTCGGGTGTTGTTAAGTGGATGTTGTTGTGCTGTTTTATTTATGTCTAATGAAATCTTAAGATCCCAAACATTGGCTGATAATTACCTCTTCTGAAACATTTGTAAGTAAAGTAAAAGTAAATAAAGTGAATAAAAATCAAAGTTTCCAAGTAGTTTTAACATTATTTTTCTCAGGTTAGACAATAAGAATGAAATTGTGCTTATATATTGAGCCTAATCTGTGTAAGTATAGTCTTTTTGTCATTTTGTCTTGATTTCAGAGGGCAAGCAATTTGCCCTTGTTTTATTCATAGTTGTTTTACTCAAATATTATTTTACTGTCAGATTTCTGTTTTTATGTGCTGTTACATTTTTTAGCAGGAATAATATTCACAAATGGAAAGTGTTACATGCTCAAGGAGTAACACTGCTCCGCAGCACCCCTGCTCTGTCTCTCTTTCCTCCTCTGCAGCCCAGTGCTCACTGGCCCGTAACAGGTTACTGATGGCAGGCCATGAACATGATGATACCAGCTATTAGTATCAGTGCTCCCATCACCCCCTCCACCTAATCGTACTCACAGGAAGAGTGAGAGGGCAGAGAGAGAATATGTGCATAAGATTTGACAGAATTGGGGGGAAAAAAAGTGACAGCCGCAATATAAAATACTCACTGACACAATATTCTCTGTGTCTGGGATTCATTAACTGTGACCTATGTGCTTACATGGTGAGTCAGTCCTGTCAGAGATCTGCTTAAACCGACAGTGTGTCATAACTCAGCACCATGTACACATGCAGGCACAAACATGTAGACACTGTTCTATCCAGCAAGACTTAATGTAGTATTTACTGCATGGGAAATTTGTGTATAAAACTGTGTAAGATCATATTATTTTTTAGTTTAGCTGAGTTTGGTTGAGTTTGTCAGTTCAGCGAGGTTTTACAGAGCTTTACATACAAGCGTACATACAAATATCTGTCTCCCTCTTATCACACTGAGCAAAAGACATAGACACTATAAAGTGTCCTACATGGGAATGAGGACAGCATGTGACCTCAGAAAGTCTAGCATTATTGAGTTTTATTAAATATATATTTCCTAATTAGCGTGAATAACACCTTTATGTGTGCACTTCCTGCCGGGTGTAAAGAAACAGATGACTTTGGAGACAGCGGCGCATGTTTTATTAATGACGCTCACTGTCCAGTTATAGCATTAGAAGAAAATGGCTGCATAATGCATAGGTCTGGTCTCCTTTGGAGTGCAGTGTTTGAGCTACATTTCTGATCAGATCAGACAGTGTCTGTACCACAGTAGTAAGGGATGAAAGAATAATCAAAAGCAAATGGAATTCTGGATGTTAAAGATACTGTTACTTGTTTTATATGCACAGTGGAAATAGGCATTTGACACACTTTGTAGGTTTTTAAAATTTTAAAAATGTTATTTAGAAGGAGAATTTTTGGTTTAGTTTCTCATTTAATTCCATATAATTCTGTATTTTTGGTTTATTGTGTTAAAAAATGTGTAAAAATACAGGCCAGAGAAAGGTGTGAGCTGAGTGTAATGACACGCCCATAGCTGGCAGGTGTCTGGATCTTTGTGTGCCCAAATGTCCATATCTATTTTTATCCTTAAGGAAATTACGGTTTCACACACAAAAACACCTCTCTAAATTCACACTGTAAAAACAAAATGGGCAAAAATAAAGACAAAAAAAAACAACAACCCAGATGGCCGTCATCATTTAGAAGTGTGTCTACTCGGGATTAGTGAGAAATATTTTTGAGTTGCTCAATACCTTGCAAAGGCAATACACTACATCGGCTTAGGAAAACCAACATCAGATTCCACCAGAACAAGATCATTTCTCATCTCTGGCAGAACTGGACCAATCCCAGCCCGTTACACAACAGTCTGGACAACAAGCCTGGACCATGATTACTCATGTCAGCGTTGGGAATGAGCGTGAAATTGACAGAGACCTACTTTCCCTTAAATGGGATGTGAAACACCCCAGTTATCTTTTTGAAATCTTTTCCTGCCTTGATGAACATGGAAAGCTTTTTTTTTTCTCCTTTCACTCAACAGCTAAATGCTGCTTTCATTGTTGCAGCTCTGGTGCCAAGTTTTTCCTCAGCTTTCAAGTCTGTAAAATGCTTGTAAAATGTATGACAGCAGGGCGCGTATCATTATGTCATTACGGCACATAGGCTTGTTCAGCACATGCCCATGGTGGTGTGTTAGTTTTTGTATTTTTATTGCATTCTAAGCTACAAGCAATGCTAAGCATGCGGTATTTATGTAATTTCTTAATACAGGAAATACATTTAGGTCATTTACTTGTTATCAGCAGGAGCAGAAACAGCAGTCGTCTAGATTGTAGGTCTCGGTGACCGAAGCTTCCATTGTTTCACTGAATGTTTGCCTTTGCATGTTACTGAGTGAATAGTAGCAGTTATGCATCTGTCTGGTTTCTGCAGTGCTATAAATAGCTCTCTGCAGCCACTGTAGGAGACGTTGAAGTGTGGTGGGCCAGCAGGTCAAGCTGTCCTGTAGCACTTGTGTTATTTTTGCATTCTGGGCCCCTGGTAGTTTGGACTGCGCTTTTCTGGCAGCACTGCAGATGAGCGCAATCTGAGGTCAAGACAAAAGTCCTATAAGTCGCTCAATCAAGTAGAATCACCCTTGAGCATCTGATAGCTCCACTTCAGCTCAGCCCCACCTTTAAAAAGATGCCCATTGTGTCTGTGTGTGCTTGCAGGCGGCCTGAGTGAGGATCCCTCCCATTTGTGAACCGGTGGGTGTGTGACATCACCTCCCCACCAGCCCCCATCCCTCCCTCCCTCCCTCCTTCCTCTTTATGCGTCAGACCAATCAGTGCCCAGGGAAAGACGGTCACGTGAGAATCCCCCCCAGTCTCGGTTGCCATGACAACGAGCAGTGGTCCAGGCAGCATCTTGCTGTGGTGAGAAGAAAGGGGGGAGAAGGCGGGAGGAGACACGGGGAAAAAGGGAGGGAGGAAAACAGAAAGAGAACAAATCCCAGCCAGAGGAATACCTTGTGCCTGTCTTCCCTCTGTACAGTAAGTGCTTCTCCTTTATTATCCTCCCTCATCAGCTCCATCACAGGTGGATGAGTGCAGATTTGCTGCAGTCTATTGTCATCTGTATTTGATAATGTGATATGGCAGATGCCTTTGAAGATTTCAGGCATGACATCATGTGTAAGTCCTTTGTTATGTTTGGAATGTGCTCAGCCTGCCTCACCTTAGGTAGACAGCCCTTTGTCTGCATGCCTCAGCCAGCATCCACTGATCCTCAGTCAATGGCTGATGACAAACCTCTGTTGGTGAACAGAGGCGTGGTGGGAACCGAGGTGCTCAGCGCAATTAGAGCTGGTTTCATGATGTGGCGAAACTCTCTCTGATGTATTGTGATCCGGCATTGAGCCATCCTGCTCCTGACTCCTGATCCCAGTCCCTTTTTTCCCCTCCCTTCAGTGCTACTCTTCCTTCTTCTCTTCACTCTCATTTTCACACAAGCAGACCCGGTTGACATCCTGTATCCCCCTGTGGTTTGTTTAATTAGCAAATCCGTGCAAATCCAACTAGGACAGCTTGTTCTGATTGGAGACTTCATATGTGGAACATCCTTGTGGTGGTGGAGACAGTAAGCTTTCCTGGCTGCGAGTTCTCTCGCAGTCAAAATGTTGCTGTTCTTAATTAGGTTAAGTTTAAACCTCATATTAGTATCACAGTGAGAGACATGACGCAATGTTAGTGTTTGCAATTACATAAGAGCTACATTTTTAAAACACATATAACCTGAGCCGCAGAAATTGTTTTCCAACTTTCAACTCAATGACTCATTCATTTCTTTAATAAGGTTATGAAATCCTTGTTTTGAGTTGCAAAAAATGCACTTCTACAGGTATGCAGCAGCACAGAGTTGAAATTCATGTATGCTACATCACGACGTGAGAAGTTGAACGTGTTTTTACCACTCTAAAAGACAGCATTACATAACCCTCGTAATAAGCAGGTCTGGAGCTGCACTAATGATTATTTCATTCTCTACCAAAGCCTGTGAAAGGGCAGCACAGCACTGTATGACCTATCCGCTTTATGTTGTGTCTAATTCAATTCCTATTCCTGTAACTCTATCTTATCTACAATGTCATTAAATATTCCTTTTGCCTCATCCATCATACAAATATAGGCAGCACAGACTTTGTAAATCCCTTGTCAAATGTTGAATGAACAAAAATAAAGTAACACTGATCCCTCCACGTGGCTGTCCTCAAGCTGAAGTTTGCACAACATCTTTCTGAGGGATTACAAACACCGTGTGTCTCTGAAAAACCAGCCACACAGGCCTATCTGTCCAGTGACAGGAGGTGACAGGAGGGTGTCTGCCTTGCTGGATGCTCAAGAGGGAGAGACCGTGTCTGTAATATGCAGAGAGCTGATAGTAAAGGGATAGTCAGCAGAGAGTATAGATTAAAGTCTGCGTCTGATCAAAGTGGGAGACTTGTGTCTTAAGTGGTCACGTTTGAGATGTCTCTGTGTTTGCTAGCCTGTGAATCAATTTTACAAAGGGCCTGCATGTCATTGACCTTTCCTTTGAATCAGCCAAGGCGCTTAGGATAATCATTACAGCTTTTAATAGGTTCTTTGGATTTGCTGTGCGCATTGCTCCTTCACTGATGTGTACAATATGTGTCTTCATTATGAGCATAAGTCTTGGATTGTGTTGTGATTGAGACAGAACAAAGCAGCGTATCAGTGATGCATAGTTCTGTCCGTGGGAAGCAGCCAGACTCACCATACTGTTTTCCATGTGATGTCCTGCCATTTGAAAGCGATTGTTTAGAACTTATAATTTTCCCAAGTTGCAATCTTAAGTGGTTTTCCACTAAGGCAAACTTCAGCCGCTCTAAAACCACAGCACAATCCATGTCTATGCTTTGTTAGAAAATAAACAAATGGGCTTTGGAATTCAGCGGGAATTATATTTTTCAAGATTCCATACGGTGGAAAAGATGCATGAAGTCAGGCATAACGAACTGATTTAGACTGGGGAATTACGTCCATGACTTTATGTCACGCAAATAATAAAATGACTTATCCTCTTTCTCAGTGCTGCCTATACTTGTTTTTCTGAGGCCATGTCATATTGATGGGTGCCAAAAACACTGTGCTCCTTTAATTACTCTGACAACTTCGCAAATCAGCAACACTGTAGACTTTGGAACCCATGCATTGCTTTTAAATTTAATCCCAACATGACTAAAGATAAGAGATTTGTACATTTAAAGGGTAACTCCGCCTAAACTTAAAATTCCAATATGTTATTTCTACGGCCTTGGAAAGTTCGATCAGTATTAATGCACATGGGCTACTCTGTCAAAGCCAGAAAGCAGAGAAGTAAGTCTCAAACTTGTGATGTCATCAGGTATAAAGTCTGGAGCTGCTCCACAGACAATGAATGGGAGACTTTGTGCACCTACATAGTGTTTGCTTTCTATTTTATATCCCAATGAGCTTTATTCTATTGAAATGTTCCCAGTTGTGAGACAGAAAATGCAGCCATTTATTCAGAGCATTCCCCCGAGTGCTCTCAGTGTCATCTAGAATATATTTCCCAGTTCGTCGTTTATGGAGCAGCTCCAGGCTTTATACCCTATGACATCACACATTTGAGTTTTAGCACCCTAGTGTTGGGATTTGGGAGAGAGTTGCTCATGTTTACCACTAGTTTTGGACTGTTTTAGACCATAGGAATAACATGTATTAATTATGAAAATGGGTGTAGTCCCCCTTTAAGTAAACACTATTTTTGTAGCGTTTATGTTCTTACTGATTAATTGTTCTGTGCAGTTATTGTTATCACTAATAGCCTAATAATTTACCAGAGAGCTTTTTATAAAGCCATAAGTTGTTGATATTAACCTGTCTGAATGTTTCATGTGAAGGCATATTTACAAAGGGAACACAGTCACACACAAGGTATCAAGTAGCACTTTGGAATGAATGTAAATTTATCAATAATTTCAGCTATCATGTAAAATCCCGCCCGCCTTTCCCTGTTGTGTAAAGCAGTTCTAATGTTTCTGACACCATGTGAAGGCAGCGGCGCTGCTGCGTCACGTTGGAAGAGACCAATCGGATTAAACTGAGTTAAAACACGCAGGCTCACTTTAACGAGTAGTGGGGGGGGCTCTCACCTTGAAATGTGAAATAAATCCGGATACATTCTGGTTTAACACAGTTTCCTCTTGATATACCACCTCATAACGTACTAAAATTGTTTTTTACAACGAGTTACAGTGAAATTAATAAACTTGCGATGTTTCGGCGACGTGTTGTTATTTTTAGACTCGCTCTCTCCCCCCTCCTTGTCGCGGTTATGGTTCCGACCGATCCCTCTCTGTCAGTTTCAAGTTGCGCCTTCTCCTCTGCTGTGTAGCCCCTTGCTCTGGCCTTACCCAGCATTACCCACTCAAAAAAACACCCCGCTGCTGTGGATTTTACTGGGAAATCTGGATCTACACACGGACATGGATTCATCCCCGCCGTAAACGAGTGGATTATAAACACACAGGATTCATAGGTAAGAGGAGATGTTGCTCTCGACCGCCTGACAAACACGGTGCATTTTGTAACGTTACCCTGGGATCCGCGGACTGCACCTCTGCACGTTTGGGAATGTCACGGTCTGCTGGTTTTAACAGAGCAGCTAACTATTTAACTGCGACGTCCTGTAATAAATCTGACATTTTTTTTATCTGCATTGTACATGCACGTTGCTGTGATGGTGCATCAACGGTCCTCTGTGCCAATCCCGGTTTTAATTCAGTTTAGCTATCAGCCTGTTAGAGATCGGAAGGGATAACTTAGTCTGTGGAATGTGGTGCATGGTGGCAATGTTTACCACCAATCAGTCATATTGAAATATCTTGGGCATGTAGTGTAGTTTAAAACCTTTTCTCCCCCTGAAGTCTGGCTTTATTTTATTGGCAATACCAGATGCCTTTGATTGAATAGGCATAGGCACATATGACACAGATATGCCTCATTCAGACAGCTTGACATCTAAATTAGTCAAGAGCACCTTTGACAACATGTTTTTTGTAATAACACAGTCATAACTGAACTGGAAATATGTTAATCATATGTACATAATTCGACTCTCATGAGAAAAAAACCTGTTGTTATGTCTTCTCTTTATATGGAACATTTCTGCAACCCCATACATTGCTTTTAACATTATATTTTACTAAATATACTTTGCATAATAGTGTACTACCACAAAAGTAGTTAGAAGCCACTACAGTACAATATATTTGTCTGGGCTCTGTATCTATTAGAAGCAATGTGGCAAAGTCTCCAGTTGTGACCTTGACGATGTCTGCTTTCAGTTTTTGGATGTCTTCTCTCTCTGGTGTGTGGGTATTTAATTTAGCATCTTGTTTTCATACTGTCATCTGAGTCACAAACTGAATTATGCATAATGTTCCAGGCAAGGAAGTAGACAATCTGTGATGCTGCTGCTTTAAGAGTCTGAGGGATGTTGTTGTGATGCACCTGATTTGTGCCTGGAGGTCCTTTGTGTTGTACAAGTTTGGCATCATGTCATGAGTCACGCTCAGGCTCTCTTACTGATGCATGCCTTCATTTGATGGGTCTGTTTTTGGTGTTGAGTGACTTATGCGCTGACTTCATCAGCAGTAACAATACCGTATTATTCCAGCTGACCCAAATTGAACCGTATATCAACACACAGCAGCAAGAGTCCATCTGTGGCTTAGTGGAGCGGTAAGGTCCTGACCTGACAGGACCAAGACTCTTATCTTGTCTCTGTAGACTGATGGAGCATTTGTTCTATTGATCACTGATATTGACCCTTGTTGCGTTTCACCCGTCCAGATTTTAGACATCTTCTCTGAGGTTACAGGGTGTTGCAGCCCAGGCAGACGTTAATTGGGACGTGCTGCCTCCGTAGAGCCACATGTGTTATCATAACTCACAGTTTCCCTCTTTAAGAGATCAGGATGTGGAGCAGAGAAGGAGGAGGATGTTTG